GGGGTTGGCCAAAGCCCGCCTGCCGTCACAGGATGCTCCGTTGCATTCCCGAAGCCCCCGGCCCTGCCCCTTCCCCGGCCCCCACCCCGCCTATTTACAGCTCCCCGGGAGCTATAAATGTTTGTTTGCTGCCGGCAGCGGCTCTAAAGAGCCCTCCGCAGCCCGGCGGATTGTCCCGAGGCCCTGCCTGCGCCAACAGGAAGCTTTTTATTTTTGCTGGGGTTTTATTTTAGCTACAAACAATGGCCGTCACTCCCGGCATCCGATTCCCCCCCTCCTCCTCAGCCTTCACCTGGCGCGGGAGGAAGCGCGGCTGGGATCAGGCAGGAAGGGATGGAGCCGCGGGCTGCTCGGCACCTGGGTGGCCCTGCCTTGGGCTAGCGGAGGGGCCGGTGGCCACGTGGGTGTCCCTGTGCACTGCAGGGTGCATCATGGCTGGGCTCTTTCAGCACGGATGTGGCTTCTTGGGAAAGAGAAACTCCCTGAGGCGGCATCGCGTGGGGCTGCAACCCCCTGCGTGTCCGCAGCTCTTCCCGCTCCGTGTCCTGCAGGAAACTCCTGCATCGGCCCAGCTGGAGCCTCTTCCTCCTTCTTGCAGGTTGCTGGAGTGTGACTTGTTTTTGCACTTGAGTGCAGCACGGGGAGGCGGGGAAGATGGGCTCTGCGCTGGCGCCCTTATCTTTGCACCGTGCCAGTGGGTCCCTGGGAGGGAAGCGCCTGCAGGGACTAAAAATAGAGGAGTCCTGGGAGAGGAGAGTCCCTTGGAGAGGAGCGGGCTGTGAGCTGGCTCCCTCCCCGGCCCCTCTCTGGGCCTCCAAAGCCCAGCGCAGCAAATGGGCCCTGTCTGGGTTTAGGCTGGGGATGAAGCCCCTGCAGACCCTGGCACCGGTGGCCGCTCGGATGCAGCAGTGCCTTTTCCTGGGAAAGCAGCAGGGTCCTTGGATGTGCTGCCGCTGCTTCCCTTCCAGGCTCCCTTGGGGGGTGTGTGTGGGATAACCCCCTGGCGCAGCAGCTCTCCCCTTGCTTCCTGCCACCGCCTCGCTAACCTGCTCCGGGCTGGCAGTGTCGGAAACGAATTCCTTCCCTTCCCGCGCTCCCCGGCGGGCAGGGGCCCGGCTTGGCGCTCCGTGCGCCCTCCGCTCGGATCACAGGCCCCTTTGACTGGCTCTTCCCCCCCGTTGCGCTTTGGCGCGTGTTGAACAAGGGAGACGGAGGGGACGGCTCAGCGAGGGGACACAAAGGAGCCTTCATCGGCTCCGGCATCGCTGCTGAGCTCACCCGGCTGCAACGCCGGGCGCAGAGCTGGCTTATCGGGCACTCTGGGTTTCCAAGCCCCTCTTGCCATGCGCAGGGCCAGCGTCGTGGCTATTAATAGACATTTATTTGCGCTTTTTTCCCCAGCTGGGCTGAACCTCTGACACCCGGGCTGGTGGATGTGCTGGGAGATGGCCTGGAATGGGGAGGCCCACGGGCTTCTGTGGCACTAATGCAGGGTGCGTGCGTGGTCCCCATCTCCTCCAGGGTAGTTCCTGGCCACCTGGGAGCCTGAGAGGAGCTGCAGTGAGACATGGGGAAGGTGTCCAATTCCCCCCCTAGGTCCTCACCGAATGCTTTGCAAGAAGTGGATGCTGGAGGGCCAGGAGGGCACCTTGCTGCTCAAGCTGTGCTGTCCCCTGCTAGCCCAGCACCCCGCCAGGTCCTGCAGCTGCATCCTGGCGAGGGCCGGAGGCGGATGTCTCACCGGGCCGGGAAACCCTCCCGGCAGCACTGCTGCGTGGGGGGAGCGCTCCCGTCCTGCGCGCGATGGCAGCTGAGCGCTTCCCCGCTCATCACACGTGTGAGGCTCTGGCAGGGCTGGAGCCGCTCTGTGCTGGCGGGGAGCATGGAGCAGAGCATCGCTGGGACGGCATTCCCGGCTCCATCCCTGCTGGGGACGTTCCCCAGCCCCAGGCGATGCTCGTGGGGACGGGCAGCCCTGGTCCCTCTGCGACCGCGCTCTCCGTCCCGCAGGCTGCCGGCCCCATCCTGGCCTGAGCTGAGGTTTGAGTGCTGAGGTTTCTCATCCTCCCTGGTTCCATGCGTGCCCGCGGCAGCGGGATGCTGCTGAAAGGGCTGCCGCTCGTGTTTGCCTTGGCTCCGGCGGGGAGGAGGAAGCAGAAGGTCTGTGCAGATAGAGGCCGGCGGCAGGAAGGGGCTCGCGAGCTGCATCCTGCCTCGCGTCCCGGCGCGGCGGGATGGGGCTGGAGACGCTGCCTCCACAGGAGGCCCCCGGCCTGCTCTGCATCAGCCCCGTCTGCTGCTGCGGGTGCAGCTGGCCAGGGCTGCGGGAAGGAGCAGGGACCCGCTCCCGTTGGGCTCCCATTCAGCCAGAAACCTCTGCAAAGCAGCTGGTCTCCTCCTCCTGTCCCTGCCTTGGAGTGAACTTGCAGCTGGCTTCCATGGGCTCTTCCCAGGGGACCTGTTCCCTGCTTTGGCCTTTGGCTCGTAGAAGGTTGAAGGGGGACAATGTTTTTAACAACCACTGTCCCCTCCCACGCCACCAGAATCCTGGGTCAAATCTGCAGCAGCCCAGTCTTGGATGGGTGTTGGGAAGTGGTGGCGTTTGGGTAGCTGGAGTTAAGGAATGAGGGTCCTGAGCATCTCTAAAAGCAGAGCATCCTGCCCTTGTCCTGCCACCTGCACTCGGTGCCACCTCCTGCCGCCCTGTGCTGCAGTGGCAGCTTGTCCTGCTCGCTTCCAAGTGCCACCAAAGCCCAGCGGCCACAGGTTGCATCCCTTGGTTTCCATCCCCAGCCCCGGGAAGACCGTGGCGCTGTGGGCAGAGAGGTGATACTGCCCATGACATGTGCCCAGCCCTTGTGCTCCCTGTGTGCTCTCCCCTTCCTTGCTCATCGCCATGTCACAGCTGCCTCTGCAGTCACCCCAGCCTCTCCTCCTGTCCTCGGAGACCCGGAACCAGCTGCAATCCCGCTTCAGCTCTGCTCCAATGGCTTTTGCTTGCTGCCTGCCAAGAGAAGGGATCTTGGAAACAGCAGCTTGTTCCCCGCCTCCTGCAGCCTCCAGAGCTGCAGGGCTGCTGCTGTCCCCGAGCTTGGCCTCTCAGATGTGGGTATCTTAGGCATCTGGTCCTCCTGATATCACCAGAGCATCCCTGGATGAGCTGGCGGGCCCCGCGGCTGCGCTCTGCCTGGTACCGTCTGTGCGGTGGAGCCCAGCCAGGAGAGCGTGTGGGCCCCGCGCTCCCATCCAGCTCCGTTTCGCCTTGTCTTGTTCAGAGGACATCAGGGAACAAGACCCATTTCCCTGGCAGCAAAGGCCGAGGAAACGCTGCCCACCTTGGGCAGGGGCTCGGGGCAGGGGCTCCTTTCCTGCTGTCACAACGCAGGCCCTGTCACAGCGAGGGGACACTGGGCAACACCTGGCAGCTCTGCATAGTCCTGCTCCAAACATGCTCTTTCACCTTCTATTTTCACGTGCCTGGCAGTGCCCCGGGCACTCTGTGCATTGCACTTCTGGAGAAACCCACTGCAGGGGCAGGATAGTGCAATCTCTATTTGGATTCCTAGAAGCTTGTCCTGGTTTGGAGCCAGAAGGTGGGTCAAAATGTTCCAGGTCTGGCTTGGAAAGTGTTCCTGGCCTCCTCCATCCCCTTCCTCCTATTGCTGCTTCTGCTCCTAACCCTGTGCATCCACTGCTGCGATGGGGAGGCTGGGGCACCTCCATGGGCCTGGCTGGGTACCAAGTTCTGTGTTCTTGCTCCTGAAACACAGGCACCCCTGTGCCTTGCTTTGCCTTGCTCCTTGTGGCCCTGGCTGAAGCCAAGGGCTGTGACCCCATCCTGGCTAATGGGCTTTTCCCGCTTCCCGCAGTGCTGGAGCAGCTCCTCCCAGAGCTCAGCGTCTTGCTCAAGCTGCTGGACCACGAGTACCTGAGCTCCACGACGCAGGAGAAGAAGGTGGCCGTGGCCACCATCCTGCAGCAGCTGCAGCCGCCGCCAGGTCAGTGCATCCTCCTCGTGCTGCACCCTGTGGCCCAGGGACAGCGCATGTCCCCAAAGTGTCCCCAGCGTGGCAGCTCTGCAGGACACCCCCACAGCTGGGACCATGACCTGGACCTGGCCAAAAAAGCCACAGTGGGACAGGGGAAAAGCTGGTTCGGTCAAGGAGCCCTGATGCCCGCTCTTGCCATGGTGCCCAAGGGACAGGCCTGGCCCATGGGATCCTTGCAGCAGCAGGAAGCAGGGCTGCTTCTGCCATAACCTGCAGTGGGATTTATTTGAACAAAGCCAAAGGGCACGGCGAGGTGGAGGTGATGGGAAGGAGCACAGGGTTCTCCTTGCGCGTGCCGGTGCTGCGTTCCCACAGCTGCTGTTCTTCCCTCGGGAGAGCATCCTAGCGCTTCTCCTGGCTGCTGGAGGCAGGGATGCGCCTCACTGGCGCTGCCCTTGGTGCAGGGAGTCCTCCAGGTGCCCTTGAGCAGCGGAGACACCGGCGTCGCACACGAGCCCGCACGCTCCACAGGCTCCGTCCCCGTGATCCACGGGAGCCCTCCGGCTAGGGATGCGCTTCCTCGCCCTTTCCCACCTGGCGAGCGAGGGGAGCTGCAGGCCTCGCTGTTCTCATGCCAAGCGCCTTCCTGGCCGCTTCGGGGCTGTTTTGCCCCCTCTCATTCCCTGGCCTCTCTCTGCAGCAGCTGCCCTGGCTACTCCAGCGGCCCCTGTCCCACGTCGGGTGCTGAGCGCTGGTGACAAGCGCGCCCGGGGCTGGCCAGCGTGCGAACAGCAGCGAGCTCACGTGCAAACGGGCCGGTGCGGGGGCTGCGTGCTGGGGGTGCAGCCGGCCTGAGCCTGCCCCGCGCTTCCTGTGGAAACGCCGGAGCGCTGAGGTTTTCCTGCTTCCCGTTTCTGCTGAGCGCAGGGCTTTCCATGGAAAGGCAGCACCTGGGAGTTCCCCAGCTCCCTCCATCCCTCTCCCGGTGGGGCTGGCAATGCTCCTCTGCTCCCCGGGCTCCTTATGCCGAGTAGTTCCCCACCGCTGGGGCACCCCAACTAGATGAGCATGAGTCGGTGGCCCGTGTCCTTGGCTAGCGTTTGCCGTGGAGGAGGGATGTTGGCGCTGTCCCCTGTCCCTGCGCTCAGAGCTTCCCCCATCGCTCCGCAGGGAAGGACGTGGACTACCTGTACGTGAACACGGCGTCGCTGAGCAATGGCACCAGCTTCGTGGAGTCCCTCTTCGAGGAGTTCGGTACGATCAGCCGCAGGGTTGTGCCAAGTGGCGCCTTGTTCCCCCCGCCTGGGATGCAGCTCCCAGCGGGTGCTGTGCTAATCACGGGCGCGTTTGAGCCAATCCCAATGGCCTGGATGGGGTTTCACCGCTCTCCTCACCCTCTCTCCTACCCCTGGCCAGACTGTGACCTGCGGGATCTCCAGGACATGCAGGAGGAGGATGGGGACACCAGCGATGGCATCGGCTTGGAGCTCGCGAGGAGCCCGCCAGCAAAGAGTGTAAGTCCCTGGATATCCAGTGTGAGGTCTGACCTGCCCGGAGAACCTCTATATTGGCACTGCAGATGGTGGCAGCCACCACGTGACGGTGACAGCCCTTTTGGGGTCTCACAGCCCATCTGCACAGCCTGGCTAATGCCCATGCTGTATCTGCTGTAGGTTGCTGTGGACCCTGCTCCACCACTGCCCACAACTCCTCCACCTGAGGATTACTACGAGGAAGCGCTGCCTCTGGGCCCGGGCAAGGCCCCGGAGTACATCACGTCCCGCAGTAAGTCCTGTGCCCGGGATGGCAGAGTTGCTGCCCCGTGAGCTCCACATCTGCATCCCGGGGAGCTCCAAGTGTCCTCTCCCAGCGCAGGAAAGCAAGGAGCCCCTCGGCACGCTTGGTAGCTCGTCCCAGGGAAGGAAACGCTGATGAGGGGATGTCCCACCTCACCAGCCTGCCTGCCCTCTGCTTCCTCCACAGACAGCTCCAGCCCGCCCAACTCCATCGAAGACGGATATTATGAGGATGCAGACAGCAACTACCCCGTCACCAGGATGAATGGGGAGCAAAAAACCTCCTGTAAGTATCTGGGGGCTCTCAGTGGGGGTTGGCGGAGAGTTTGGGCAAAGTCTGGGCCTGTGGCATGGCTCTGAGCAGTCAGGAGCAAATCCTGGAAGTCTGGTCTGTCTGTGCCAGAGCTCAGGGCCATGATGCTCAAGTAGAGAGGGAGAGAGGGCAGGGGAGGGCTGGGCTCTCCTGGGTTGCTCCTGTGTCACAACCACACGCAGCCACCTGATGCTCTCCACAAGGTCATATATATAAAATGGCCTGACAGATTGTCCAGCTAGAGATCCAGCAGCCTGGCTTTTATCTTGGTGTATATTTTCCACATCCAAGTTTCTGGAAACGCATCCGCCTCTAGCCCCTGGCTTCGCGTGCAGATGACGGCTCTCCAGCTCCTGCCCGGCTGCCGGGAGGGCTGAGGCTCCAAGGACCTCTCGCGTGTCAGAGGCCCTTTGCCCAGCCGCCTGGAAAGCGCTCGGGGCGCTGTTTGGCACGCGAGCCGGGCTCCTGTTTGCCTCGCAGAACGCACGCACTGAGCGCCGTGTCTGTTCCCAGCATCGGGAAGGGGAGTCCCCACCTCCGCAGCCAGCTCTGCCGTGACCTCCTTGAGCTTCCTGTGCCACCGAGGAGGTGGGACACGGGCAGGGACACTGCTGCAGCATGGGGCTCCCCTGGGTGCCTGTGGGGCAGCGGGCGAGTGCATGAGCCTGCGTTGCAGGTGGTTAATCCACATTTTAGACGCCTGAGGTTTGCAAAGAAGCAGGATGCTTCTGGGCTTGGCTTTTGGCCCACAGGCGTCATGAGTTATATGGAAGGGAAATGAGCGCAATGGAAACACTCGGGGTCAAAATGCTGCTGTTTGCAGTGTAACATGGAGCCCATCCAACCCTGTGTGCAGCGCTGTCGTGGAGCTGGTGGGGAGAAGGGACACCCGTCAGCACGAGAGCTTGCATGGGAGCAGCCCTGGGGTGGCCCACAGGGGTGACATGAGCGCGTCCTTCCTCCCAGACAACGACTCGGATGCAATGAGCAGCTCTTACGAGTCCTACGACGAGGAGGAGGAGGAGGGGAAGGGCCAGCAGCTGACACACCAGTGGCCGTCAGAGGAAGCCTCCATGAACCTGGTGAAGGACTGCAGGATTTGCGCTTTCCTGTTGCGTAAGAAGCGCTTCGGACAGTGGGCCAAGCAGCTCACCATCGTGCGGGACAACAAGCTGCTGGTGAGCCCGGCGGGGCGAGAAACCGGGCCGGCTGCTGGGAGGGAGGTCAGGTCCGGGCTGAAAGAAGATGCTGATGCCCTAGTCTAGAGCTTGTCCTTAAGACTGGGGCTGTCCCATGAAAGGAGCTTGCTGCCTTGGCGAACAAATGAGTGTTTCCCCTCTTAGGGGCACAGCTTGGCTAGCAGAGGGGAGGGAGAAGGGGTCCCGCAACCCTGCTGCAACTGTCTGCTGCAGAGACTGAGCCACCTCCAGCTGTGCCACACACTTGGGAGCCTGCAAGGGACACCCGGGATGCCCCGAAACAGCAGCAGGGCCAGCAGGGTTGGCTGGTCCCAGAACGGCTCCCTTTGCTTCTCCCAGTGCTACAAAAGCTCCAAAGACCGCCAGCCGCATGTGGAAGTGCCCCTGGGCACCTGCAACGTCATCTACGTGCCCAAGGACGGGCGGCGCAAGAAGCACGAGCTGCGTTTCACGCTGCCCGGGGCCGAGGCGCTGGTGCTGGCCGTGCAGAGCAAGGAGCAGGCTGAGGAGTGGCTCAAGGTACCGCGGTGGCCTCCGCTTCGCCAGGGCTGGCTATAAACCCTCCTGGCTCGTTGCCCTGCGGGGACACAGCTCCCATCGTCCTTGGCCGGAGCAGGGAGTGGGCTCCCTTGGGAAAGGCCTTATCTCCCTCGAAGGGGAAGGGGCTTGTGTCTCATCTCTTATCAGCTCCCCAGCAGCGAGCCCCGGCGCGGTGAGGGCTGCCTGGCTGCTTCCCAGGCCCCCCGGCGTCTCCTGTGCTGATAGCCCCAGCCCCTTGCAGGAGGCAGCGGGGTGGGGATGTTTGTTTGCCCCCTCCCCTGCTCCGCAGCCCTTTCCTGCCTTTGTTCTGGGGTGGGAGGCCCTGGAGAAGGGAGCAGGGAGCAGGGACAGGCTCCGTGGCTGAGACGGTGGGGCACAAAAGGGGTTTTGCACTCCCACAAGCAGCAGCAGGAGACTTTGTCCCGACCCCATTCCCTCTGCATGGAGCCCGGGAGCTGCCCTGTCTCCTCTGGCTGGTCTCCTCCGGAGATGCGGGTGTCCTGCTTGCCCATTCCTGGGGCTGGGAAGCGATGCGGCCGCAGGAAGGGTGGCCCTTGTGGCAGCTGTGTCCCACCAGAATGTTTCCTCAAGAGCCTCCCGCCTGGCCACACGTCCAGGCTGCTTGTCCCAAGCATGGGAAACCAGGTTGTTTTATATGGCCTTGGTGAGCCACGCTCTGCCACCCTGCAAAATAGGGGTTGTGAGGTCTGCTGCGCTGGAAATGCTGCGTGCAACTTGTGCACCCATGTCCCTTTCCTTGTCACCCCCGTCCCTGCACATCTTGGCTATGGAGATGTTTCCGTAGGAGCCAAACTGTGCCTGGACCCACAGGCAAACTGGACTGTCCCTGAGGGACTCGCACCCCGAACGGTCCCGCCGGGAAGCGCAAGGGGCTACTCAGACCTGTCTTTGCAGGTGATCAAGGAGGCGAGTGGTGCGGGAGCCGGTGGCCAGGAAGCCCCCACGTCCCCAGCGATGCTGCGCAAGACGGACCTGGACAAGGTGGTGTTTCTAACTGCCCTGCTGAGGAGGCGAGGGGCTGAGGCTCCCTCCTCTCCGCGGAGCTTGCGAGGCTCCCGGGGAGAGGGCACAGGGCTCCGAGAGGCCAAGGAACGCGTCCGGTCGTGCTGATCCGGGTGCCCTGCTCCTCCCCGCAGCGGCTCTCGCAGGAGAAGCACACGTCCGACTCGGACAGCGTGGCCACGGGCCAGCCCTGCTCCCCCGGGACCCGCAGGGAGCCCTGCGAGCACGGTGAGGCCCCTCGGTGCGCAAGGCGGGTGCCAGGCCGTGCCGCGGACGCACAACGTCACCGGGAGCGCTCTCTTCCGCAGGGAAAGGCAAGAGGAGCGGCTTGGCTGACCTGAAGGGCTCCATGAGCCGGGCGGCGGGGAAGAAGATCACCAGGATCATCAGCTTCTCCAAGAAGAAGCCTTCTCCCGAGGACACGCAGACCTCCTCCACCGAGGAGGACATCCCCTGCTGCGGTTCGTGAGGGCCGTGGTGGTGACAGGCTCTCGGTGTCCATGGGGGCTGATGGGGACCTGGCCTCCTTTCCTTGCCAGATGGAGCACACGGAGGACAGGGCACGGGACAGGATGTGGGATGAGGGGAATTGGATCGAGCTCACAGGGAGCTTTGCCTGGATCCAGGTCACCCCTTGTCCTCAGAGACACAGAAAACACTCAGGTGGCTGCGTGGTGCTGAGCTGGCCCATCACCTGGGCCCAGAGGTGCCCAGCCACGTGTGGGGAAACTGAGGTATGCAAGGAATAAATGGTCTGTCATTGCATGAGGACCTGGATCTGGGCCATAGTCTCCAGACAGTCTTGTCACAAGCCCAATTCCACACCAGAAATAGTGATGTCCTCATGCTCATGGTGGTGTCCTCATCGTTCTTCATGCATATCAGGTGCCAGTCAAACCTGCCAGTCTTCACTCCCACAAAGCTGCTTTGGGCCTCAGGAGTTTTTTGCTGAGAATACAACTAGAGTTACACAACTGAAAGGAGAGAGACCAAGACCCTGTGATCTCCTGAGGTTCTCAGATGTTCACAATCCCAGAACAGCACAGAGCAGTACAGCAAAGAGGGTTTGTACTGCATGAGGACAAGAAAACCCACCCAAGCCCTCGCTGGGCTGCTGACCTTGGAGCTCCTCACCAAGAATCAGGCTGCTATGAGGACTCCATGGCTCTTCCTTCCCACCTCCACTGACTGTACTCATGGCCAAGGCGCTTCCAAGAAGCTGTTGAGACCCTTCTGTTTTCTTCCAGGTTACCTCAATGTGCTGGTCAACCAGTGCTGGAAGGAGCGCTGGTGTCGCCTGAAGGACAACACACTCTACTTCCACAAGGACCGCACGGACTTACGGACCCACGTGAACGCCCTTGTCCTCCGGGGCTGCGAGGTGGTGCCGGGACTGGGCCCCAAGCACCCCTTCGCTTTCCGCATCCTTCGCCACGGGCAGGAGGTGTCCGCACTGGAGGTGCGTTGGGGTGGCGGAGCAAGGGACGGCACTGGAGTTGGGGGAATGGGTCTTGCTGTGCCCATGCTTTCCCTTGGGCCCTCCCAACCCCATGGCTTGTGTTCCCGATGGCCCTTCCCTGCTGTGAGGATTCACATGGGGAGGAAGGAGCAAGGCAGGGCTACGACACTGCCCGGTCCCACCTTGCTTTGGGGGTGCCCCAGGCTGGAGGGCCACAAGGAGAGCCTGTATCCAGGGCCAGCCATGCATCCCAAGCCTCTCCTTCTCCCCTGCCACCCAGGCAAGCTGCTTGGGAGATCTAGGCCGCTGGCTGGGCCTTCTCTTGGTGGAGACCGGCTCCGCCACGGCGCCCGAGGCCTTGCACTACGACTACGTGGACGTGGAGACGATCGCCAGCATCGTGACGGCGGTGCGGCACTCCTACCTGTAAGGAGCGGGCCGTGACGGTGCTCCCGAGCCCCGCGGGCTCTGCGGAGGAGGCAGGGGCTGCAATGTGTCCATGGGAGGAGCTGACATCCCGGGAACTGGCATTCCCCGGAGCGGGGCAGCCTCCCTCGGGCGGGACGGAGCAGGAGGGGTTTTAGCAGCGCCGGTGAAGGGACGTGCGTGTTTGCACGGGGTCGGGCGAGCGCTCGCAGCGGGAGCTGGAGAGCGGTCTGGAAGCTCTGGGAGATCAAAGGGCTCTTTGAGGCACCACGGAGCTGCTGCCGGGGAGGGAAGCCTTTGAGGGCAGCCGTCCCTGCCGTCCCGCAGGTGGGCCAGCTCCTGCCAGGACGGCCGGGCGGACTCGTCGCGCGTGGTCTACGACGACGTGCCCTACGAGAAGGTCCAGGTGAGCGCGGCAGGGACGGGCACTGCGTCCCACGGCCCGCCATGAGAGTGACATGCCCAAGGTCCCCACCGATGGCTTTTCCTCACACTCTCCAGGCCGAGGAGCCGCCAGCACGGCCGTCGGGAGCCCAGGTGAAGCGCCACGCGTCCTCCTGCAGCGAGAAGTCGCGGCGCGTGGACCCGCAGGTCACGGTGAAGAGGCACGCGTCGAGTGAGTGGGGTCTGTCCGTGCCCACGGGCGGCCGGGCCTTCCCAACGCGTCCTGCTGCAGCCAACGAGCCCAGGGACAGGACTGGGCCACGCAGGCTGAGCCTTGCCGAGGCCCGAGCTTTCGTGACGTCCTCTGGCATCTGTCCGTGCAGATGCCAACCAGTACAGGTACGGGAAGAACCGGGCGGAGGAGGATGCCAGGCGGTTCCTGACAGAGAAGGAGAAGCTGGAGAAGGAGAAAGCGTCGATCCGCAGCGAGCTGCTGCTGCTGCGCAAGGAGAAGCGGGAGCTGCGGGAGGCTGCG